TCAAGGGTTGAAAATAAATTTTACAGAATTTTAAGGACACTGCTTTGGTAAAACAGGTCAGGTTTATTGCTTGAGTTTAAACCCCCCTCATGGATTTTTGCTGTGACACTTTAATTATAATTTGTTGCATCAACTTTCCATTATATCAACTTTCTTCAGTTAGTAGGACATTCTCTTTCACTGTACGTTTCTTTGAACTGGCAGGATTTAACTGATTTTGCACTCACCCACTGGACATATGTGGCGGTAGGAGCAAATGACAGACACAGTGGGTGTGGCATCAGGCCTCTGAGAGGCTTTTATTTAACAGAAAATAAACATAAAATATCCAAAACGGGGAATAAAGTGTCCGAAGGAGAAGGCACAAAGAGGACACCAGATCCCCTGTTTATTTTGGACACTCCTGTATATATGTCATGTTCATATATCTTTAAATAAAAACAATTGAAAATAGGAGGAAATATCATTATGAAATAAATGTTTATTCTCTAATACATATAGTATTGGCACAATTATTGGCACCCTTTTATTCAACACTTTTTGCAACCTCCATTTGTCTTGCCATGAGTCTGAGTCTTTCCTATAATGCCTGGTGAGTTTGGAAAACACCTGACAAGAGATCAGTGACCATTCCTTCATAGAGAAGTTCACTCCACTCATTTTCTATAGGGTTCAGATCAGGGGACTGGGATGGCCATGGCAGAACATTAATTTTGTGTTCAGTGACCTATTTTTGTTTTGATTTTCATGTTTGTTTTTGGATCATTCTACTGTTTGAAGATCCAAACTCTGCCCATTATACGATGTCTAGCAGAGTCAGTCAGGTTTAGAATTTTTATGATTTGATCTGTTGGTATTTGTTGGAATCCATAGGTGCTTTTTCACTGTTGGGCCAAACTCAGTGCTTAACTGTTCCATTGTGTGCCGATCCTGCCCAGTCGGCATGGACATGGTTTCGTTTTCCATTGTGGGCTAATAGCAGAACTCGTAATACAAATACCATCAGTCTCTGCCTTGGTAACGCAAGTGTTTACATACGGTATGAGATGTAAATAGCGGCCATGTTATGAAGGATGATGAAACATTTGGTCCCACTTTATATTAAGTGGCCCTAATATATGTGTACTTACATAGTAACTAGATGTATACATAGTATGTAACCACAGTGTGAGTACACATTGGTACATAGTATCTACAGCTGTAATGTTTGTGTAACTAACAACTAATTCCAGTTGATTTAGTGTTTTTGTTAGTTTTTCCTGTTTTTCAAACACGATCAGTTTCACCAGGGATGAACAGCTGAACATTCGGCAGAATACACCACAAAATCTCCGGATTATTCGGATGTTTTGCTGAACAATGTTTGGCGGAGCCGCCGCTGATCAAACGCTTCAGGACGCGCAAATGGGGGAAGCAAGCCGGCGCGCTCGTGAAGCTCAGACAGCGCGGATTTTGAATGCCGTTGCCTACCATCCATCTTGCAAATCTCCCCTCTCTACCCAACAAAACGGATAAACTCATTCTGCTCTCCTGGACAAATAAGGATTTCTCACACTCTGCTGCTCTGTGTTTTTACGGAAACCTGGCTGAATGATGCCACACCAGACAGAACGCTACATCTGCCGAGCTTCCAGCTCTTCAGAGCAGACTGCGACGCAGAATCAATGGGGAAATCGCGTGGCGGCAGGACATGCTTTAACATCAATGAAAGGTGGTGTACAGATGTAACAGTGCTAAAGAAGATGTGTTGTCCCGATCTAGAAGCGCTCTTCATAAACTGTAAACCGTTCTACTTACCGTGGGAGTTTCACTCGTTCATTCTCGTGAGTGTTTACATTCCTCCGCAAGCGCACGTGAGCCTGGTTTTGCAAAAACTCGCTGATCAGATCACAGAGACAGAGCAACCATCCCCATCTTTTTTAATCATTCTTGGGGACTTTAATAAAGCAAATCTCTCCCGTGAACTGCCAAAATACAAACAGCATGTTGCATGTCTCACCAGAGACAGTAATATGTTGGATCACTGTTACACAGCAATAAAGGATGCATATCACTCTGTCCCACGGGCAGCTTTGGGGCTCTCTGATCACTGCCTGATTCATCTTATACCAACCTACAGGCAAAATTTTAAATCTGCTAAACCTGTAGTAAAGACTGTAAAGAGATGGACCAACGGTTTTACAAGCCTCTTTCGACTCCACTGATTGGAGTGTTTTTGAAGCTGCTACCACCGATCTGGACGAACTCACAGAGACTGTAACATCCTACATTCGTTTCTGTGAGGATATATGCATTCCTACCAGGACTTATTTAACATTCAACAATGATAAGCCATGGTTTACAGCAAAACTCAGACATCTTTGTCAGGCCAAAGAGGATGCCTACAGAAATGAGGACAGAATCTTGTACAATCAGGCCAGGAAAGATTAGAGTGGCTAAAAGGACCTACACTAACAAGTTGGAAGATCAGTTCACTTCCAATGACTCAGCTTCAGTGTGGAAAGATCTGAAAGCCATCACCAACTACAAGACACCATCCCCCAGCACTGAGGCGAATCAACAACTTGCTGAAGACCTGAATGAGTTTTATTGTAGATTTGAAACCCCCCACACCCATTCTGACCATCTCTCTACACAACCGTTAACACTTCCTGTAACTCCCCTCTCCCCCACTCCTGTACTTCAGATCAGTGAAGATGATGTGCGTCAGGTCTTCAGAAAGAACAAGAGAAGAAAGACACCAGGTCCAGACGGTGACACCAGCCTGTCTGAAAACCTGCTCTGACCAGCTGGCCCCCATCTTTTCACAGATCTTCAATAGATCTCTGGAGTTGTATGAAGTCCCTTCCTGCTTCAAACGCTCCACCATCATCCCCGTTCCAAATAAATTTAAGATAACAGGACTTAACGACTACAGACCTGTGGCACTAACATCTGTCATCATGAAGTCGTTCGAAAAACTGGTTCTGGCTTATCTGAAGGACATCACTGGACCCTTACTAACCGAGCAAACTGGTCCGTGAATGATGCAGTTAACATGGAACTGCACTTCATCCTGCAACATCTGGACAAAACAGGGACTTATGTGAGGATCCTGTTTGTGGACTTTAGTTCGGCCTTCAACACCATCATTCCAACATTCCTCCAGACCAAAACTAACCCAGCTCTCTGTCCCTAGCACTATCTTTCAGTGGATCACCAGATTTCTGACAGATAGGCAACAGCTAGTGAGACTGGGGAAATTCATGTCAAATAGCCGCTCCACCAACACTGGTGCCCCTCAGGAATGTGTGTTCTCTCCCCACTGCTCTTCTCCCTGTACACCAATGACTGCACCTCTAAAGAACCCTCTGTAAAGCTCCTGAAGTTCGCAGATGACACTACAGTCATCGGTCTCATCCAGCATGGCGACGAGTCTGCTTACAGACAAGAGGCTGAGCAGCTGGCTGTCTGGTGCAGTCTTAACAACCTGGAGCTGAACACGCTCAAAACAGTGGATACGATAGTGGACTTCAGGAGAACTATCTCCTGCTATCTCCACTATCTGCACTCTCCCCACTCACCATCATAGACTTTACTGTGGCTGCAGTGGAGACATTCAAGTTCCTGGGATCCATCATCTCCCTGGACCTGAAGTGGGACACTCACATTGACTCCATTGTAAACAAGGCCCAACAAAGGTTGTACTTCCTTCGCCAGCTGAGGAAGATTAACCTGCAACAGGAGCTGCTGAAACAGTTCTACTCAGCCGTCATTGAGTCTGTCCTGTGCACTTCAATAACTGTCTGGTTTGGACATCAGAAGACTACAGAGAACAGTTCAGACTGCTGAAAGGATTATTGGTGCTCCCCTGCCCACCCTTCAAGAACTGTATACATCCAGAGTGAGGAAAAGGGCTCAGAAAATCACTCTGGAGCCCTCACATCCAAGTTATCCCCTTTTTGAACTTTTGCCATCTGGCCGGCGCTACAGAGCCCCAAATACCAGGACAGCCAGGCACAAGAACAGTTTCTTCCCCCATGCAATCTACCTTATGAACAGTTAAATGTTCCCCACATTATGCAATAAAAATGTGCAATAACCTTATATTTATTTGTTACCACCTCCATGCTAGTACATCTCTGCATCTCATTCTATTCTATTCCATTATATCATCTATAGCACAACTGTACATACATTTGATTTATTTTTAAATGTATTTTTAAAGGGGTCATATGATGCGATTTCAATTTTTCCTTTCTCTTTAGAGTGTTACAAGCTCTTGGTGCATAAAGAAGATCTGTAAAGTTACAAAGACTAAAGTCTCAAATCCAAATATATATTCTTTATAAAAGTTAAGAATCAACCGTGCCTACCTAAAACAGCTCGTTCTAACACGCCCCCACATGTCTATGTTACGATGTGGGAAGATTTGCATAACGCCGCCCAAATGTTCATGCAAAGAAAGAAGGCTTAACTTATTCTTGCTGTCGTATTGTTGTTGCCGCCGCCATGTCGTGAAGGCGCTGTGTGTTTCGTTGTGAAAGCGAAACTACTTTGTTTGGCCTTCCAAAAGAGGACGATGTCCGCTTTGTCATGCCTAGAGTTTGTCTGTGCTGGTCGCTGAGGAAATACATCAACTTCATGCTGTGGATCGCCGGATCGGCTTTCACCGTGGACGAAGCAGAGTCCAGCCAGGGGTCGTCACATGTGGTTGCCGCAAGCCTGCCGGACGCTCACTCAAGCCCGCCCGCCACCGCTCACTCAAGCCGGCCTCCGCTCACTCTAGGCCACCGGCCGCCTCTCATTCTAGGCCTCTGGCCTCCGCTCACTCTAGCCCGCTGTGTGTTTCGTTGTGAAAGCGAAACAACTTTGTTTAGCCTTCCAAAAGAGGACATGACTAGAAATCAGTGGTTAAGTTATATTTACAACACTGTTCCAGAACAGTTCAACCCAAATATTCAGATGTGTCCAGTGCATTTTATGGAGGACTGTTTCCTGATCCTGGTAGAGCAGACTACAATGCCGGCTGTTCTGACTCACAGACTGTAAGTACGTTTTTTATATCTAAAGAATTTGCCACTGATGATTCAAATGCGAGTTTTGAGAAGTGTAGAGTAGCACTTGTTGTTTGTAATTTCTCCACTCACAAATGCAGACATGGTTTTATGTTTAAGCGGTGCGATGCAATGCAACGCTTAAAAAGACAGTATAAGTCATTATAATCTGTAATTATGTCCCCACTGGATGCAACAAATGCCTCGTTTATAATGGGTTTTAATGTTTTTGTCTCGTCGCTCCGGCCGGACAGGGCATCACAATATGGTAAGGGGCATAACATTTCCATCACATGCTTGAGGTATTCGGCCAATCACAATGCACTGGATAGCTGGCCAATCAGAGCACATCTCGCTTTTCAGACCGATGAGCTTTGTAAAAATCTACGTGTTTCAGAAAGGTGGGGCATAGAGGAGAAACAATAATGTAAAGTATGTGGAAAATAATGTGTGTTTTTAACCTTAAACCGCATAAACACATTTCATTACACCAAATACACAAAATAATGTTCTTTTTAGCAACATCATATGACCCCTTTAAATTTGTGTCTATTTATATTTATATATGTGTATTTTTTATTCTCATCTTATTTTTTTTATTGTCTGAGTGTTGTTACTGTCTCTGTGTACTGGAAGCTTATGTCACTAAAACAACAAATTCCTAATATGTGCAAGCATACTTGGCAATAAAGCTCTTTCTGATTCTGATTCTGCCAGCACGGTTAGCTAACAACAGCCCAATGGTGGAAATTGGCTCATAAATAGTCCAATGGAATGGTGAGACGTCATGGAATAGAGAGACCTCATGAAATAGAGACCAGGAAGCCTAAAAGCTGAAACAAACAGCATTAGCATCTGTGTCTTCAGCAAGCACACTGTGTGTGTCAGTCATATCTGTTGTTTGTCAGTGCCTGTGCACAATCACAACAATGTTCAGTATGGCAAGCAAGAAAAACAGGCAGCATTTTAGACAGTGTGTTCTTCCCATTATGGGTGAGAATACACACGATCGTTGTGCTGTTTGTTTGGGAGCAGAGCATGCACAGTCAGCTCTCGAGGGGGCTGATTGTGTGCATCGTGCTCCTGCTGTGAACGCTCTGCTTCTGTCGGACACACTTCGAGGAGTGAGTCCATGTTTGCAATCCTTGCAGATCTGGTTCCGCTGTGGGGATCACATATGGATCTAGTGGAGGGGTTGGAGACGGGGCTTGCCCATTCTTCACCTTCCCCCCTTGGATCTAGTGTGCTTTTTCGGGCTTCGTTGCTTAGGCTATCTTCCTCAGAGGAGGCTGATGTTGTTAGCATTGATACAGAAGAGATTGAGGACTTGCCACCTCAATCTCTTGCATATGAGCAGACTGCATTTTAGTTCGCTTGTTTCTTCCTGCCCTCACTACATCATTGGTGTGGGATCCACATGATTTATATGTGTGGTTTGTTTGGGATCAGACCACATACAGTCAGCTCTTGAGGCTGTGTTCATTCATAAAATGTCCCAACGTGTACAAGTGTGCACTATCTGGAATGTTTAGCTCTGCTCCCATTGGTGTTTCTTCTCGAAGGAAGAAAGTGCAATATAGAATCGAGTGGTTCAGATCTTGCATTGCTGAGGCAACGCATGCATTACAGGTCTGCAACAAAATAATGCTGGGGGGAAACTGTGAGCAGATGGGAGGTTCCCTTTCTCTCTATTTCCTCCGACCGCATGAAAACATACTAATGTGTTTGCAAGCTATTATTCATGATTCTCTTAAATTGCATATATTATTATTAAATTCAGCTTAACGTCCCGACCCTGTTTCACTTGTCTGGATGTTTTGCTGCATTTAATTCTGAGGAATTAAATGACAATAGTCATCTGGCTTTTGAGAAATTTAGATGTCTATATTAATTTAGCAGAGAGATTGGAGAAGAGCCTCACTTTTTCTCCTCCCTCACCCTCTAAACACAGAACTTTCTTGGGGCACGGAAGCACGCTCTGTGGTTTCTTCCCCCCTGAGTTAGAGCACGGTGTGACACCTTCTTTCCTTCGAGGAGGTTGAAGTAGTCAGCACATCGATACATAAGAAGTTGAGGACTCACCACCTCAATCCATTGCATATGGGGAGTTGGTGGAGGTTGTAACTCATGCTGTAGGCAGATTAAACATTGACTGGCTGGCCGAGAAGCGAGCTGTTTGTCTTATAAGAGTAAATTGGATGGACGCACTTCTGCTGTGCTAAATCACAACCTCCACGTCGGGACCTACTGGTTTTCCCTGATCTCCACACCAAGGTGGGTTAAACAGTTTTTTGTCCGGCTCTTCAGCCCCTGTGTTGCTAAGTATTCTAACATTAGGGGGCTAAATGAGCAGGGCTATGGGGCGATGCTTAAGTTGGGAGAGATGCCTGCGAGCTATCTGTCCCCAATACAGCATCATCCCTGAAGGCTCCAACATTACCCAATAAGTGGCTTTGGTGGATAAAGCCTACACGGTGGACCCAGGTCTCAGGGGCTGCTGTGTGGGAGCAGCCCTTGGCATGGGCCAGCTCTTCATATCAGTGCAGCAAGAAGTCCTGATTCCAGTGGCGTCAGACTTCTGAGGGCAGGTCCCTCAGGAGGCCGGTCTGTTAACCCTGCTACCTTTGTTGCACAGCGGTCTTTTCAGCGACTGCAGATCACATTGTCCACCTGGAAACATGGAGGCTCTCATCCTCTGATGAGGTTATCAAGCAACCAGTTCAGTTTGTCCCTGCTGGTCATCTGCTTCAGGGCACCAAGCTGATTGCGCAAGAGACAGTCTCGTGAGACTGGTCATTACATGGTTCACACCTCATTATATGGTGCCTGTCTCTCCTCAGTGCCCTCAGGATGCCGGTCTGCTAACCCTGTCACCTTTGGTGCTTTGGGGCACAGTGGTCACCAGCAAGCACTGTTCTCAGTTGCCGCCCGGCAATGGTACGGCACGAGAATGCTCATCCTCTCAAGTGAGGGCTCTATAGTGGATAAATTGGTCTCTCTGCCGGTCCTCCACTTCAGGACATCGAATTAAACTCCCTAGCTACAATAGATGCCAGTCCCAAGGGGCTGGAGTCCTTAGCCCTGCTGATACCCCTGCCACCTCCAGTGCTTCAGGGCTCAGTGGGCTCCAACAAGCGAAGTTCCAAGCTGCCGTCTGGCAACGGTACGGCACGGGAATGCTCATCCCCTCAAGTGAGGGTGCTAGAGCCATCAGGTCATTCGTTCCCTGCCAGTCATCTGCTTCAAGGCGCCAAACTGACTATTCCAAATACACCAGATGCCAGTCTTGAGAGTAGGGGTGTACAGCAGAGCCAGTATTTGTATCTGAATCTGTAACAATCACAAAAAGATTTGTATCTGTATCTGTATTTGGATAATACCGGAAGTAGGCAGGATTGAACCGGAAGTTCGTACAGTTACTTGAGAAGATCGTTATATCTATGGTTTTACAGCCTTCTTTTTTCATAGTTATCACTGAACAAATATGCTGTGTTTAACCCCTTAGCTGTCAGCCCCCATTTTCAGCATAGAGACACAAACGACATACCCAAAATAAAAAGGCTTTCTTACTAGATACATAATCAACATATGTTCACAAAGCTGACACTTCACAAGTTTACTGTTCAGGAATCAGAATTGCTACTGGATCTTGGTGCTGCGTTTGACACTATAGACCACAACATTATTTTGTGTAGACTACAAAATCATGTCGGTATTAGTGGAATTGTATTGACATGGTTCAAAGCTTACTTATTTGTCTGTCATCAATTCGTAGCAGTGAATGAAAATGTATCATATCGATCACAAGTACAGTATGGAGTACCACAAGGCTCAGCACTAGGGCTGATGCTTTTCACACTTTACATGTTACCCTTGGGAGATATCATCAGGAAACATGGTGTTAGCTTTCACTGTTATGCTGATGATACTCAGCTCTATATTTCTTTGTGGTTCGACAAAACATACCAATTCGCAAAACTAACGGAATGCATAGTTAATATAAAAAACTGGATAACTAGTAATTTACTACTGCTAAATTCTGAAATAACAGAGGTGTTCATTATTGGACAAAAAACCACCGCATGTAATAACCTAGAACACTGTCTAACACTTGATGGCTGCTCTGTCAGTTCTTCGTCATGAGTTAAGAACCTAGGTGTTCTATTTGACAGCAATCATTCCTTTGAAAACCATGTTTCTAGCATTTAAAACTCACATTAAAACCACAATTTTCCATCTTAAAAATATATCTAAATTACGACCTATGCTCTCAGTGTCAAATGCAGAAACGTTAAAGGCCCCGATATACTTCAAGCGAAATCGAAGAACTGATGTGACATCATTTCGAACAAAATCCGGCCAAAATGAAGTTCGTTTTTTGTTCGTTTTGGGAGTTCGAAACGGCTTGCCAAAGCAAACTTTCCAGAAAAGTTTGTTCCAGCTGCAAAACACCTTCGCACTACCATTGGTCCGTGACAATTACATCATAGTAGATGTGTGCTGGGGCTCCACCTTCTTTCACGTGGAACTCTTCTCTTGGTTCATTTCGTCTATTGAGTCCTTGGTGGTGAGATGTCCACAGGTAAAAACTGAACACAGTGGGGAGCCGCTTTATACTAGCAAATTAAGTTTTGCTTTTGATGAAATGAGACACTGACACTGTTTTTCATGTTTAATACTGCTGCTTGCTGTTATGCTTAAAATGATATATTGAATAAAGTGCCATGTAAATACATGTGATGTGAGAGGAATACTGAGAGGAAACCACGCAGCACATATTTACATATTCATATAAACGTCAGGATGTTCGATAACAGTATACCGCTGCCCACATATTTCAAATTTCATTTTACCCCTAAACAGACACTAAAAATAACTTAATTTTGAGTATATCGGGGCCTTAATTCATGACCTCAAGGTTAGATTATTGTAATGCTTTATTGGGTGGTTGTTCTATGTGCTTAATAAACAAACTCCAGCTGGTCCGAAATTCAGCAGCTAGAGTTCTTACTAGAACCACACTCTGTCAGTTTAAATCTATAAACCTAGATTTATAAATCTATAAATCTATAAATCTAGAACCATCTCTTTAACCTAGAATACACATAAAACACTATCAAGTTTCTATAATTCAAATCCTTTAAAGGATTGTTAAGCTGCATTAATTAGGTCAACCGGAAGTGGGAACACCTCCCATAACTCCTGATGTACTTATTACATCGCAAGAAGAATGGCATCAATGCTAATATTAGCCTGTTTCATTCTTATTCCGATGTCACCATAGCCACCCGGATCCAGTCCATTTCCAGACTAGATGGTCACCGTAGCCACCCAGATCTGGTCTGACCAGATGGTGGATCAGCACCTAGAGACAACCTCTACAGCCCTGAATGTAAGTGGAGACCATGTCAACTAGATGAGCCCTAGAGACAGATTTCCTGCGAAGACCTTGTCAACGAGACGGCCATCGGGACAAGATCATGGTAACCAGAGCCCTCTGCACAATCTGACTTGTGTTGCAGCCTGGAATTAAAATGCATCATGCTGGTTTTGTCTGGCCAGAAGAGAACTGGCCCTCCGACTGAGCCTGGTACCTCCCAATAATTTTTTCTCCATTTCTATCACCGATGGAGTTTTGGTTCCTTGCCACTGTCGCCTTTGGCTTGCTTAGTTGGGGATGCTTATTTTCTAGCAGTATTGTCAGATTTGATTAGGCCTCAGACACTATTGGAAGAGAGCTGAACTGCTTGATGACATCACTGAATCAACAATAAACTGACTTTAACTGAAAAATTTACTGTTTTTTATTGTCCTCTTGCATTGTGGACAAACTATTTTCCTGTTTGACACCGTAAAGCTGCTTTGACACAATCTGTATTGTATAACTTACTTAGACTTAGATTCTCCCGCGCTGTTCTGTGCATTGGGAGCAAGTTGACGTCCGGCGATGCATTTCTTCATTGGTCACCCGATCTCGATATTTGATCTTCAGGATGCGTCTCAGGCATCGTTGTTGGAACGTATTAAGGCGCCCGATGGTTTTGGCTGTCAAATTACATGTACCGCAAGCGTAGATAGCCGTTTGAATGACAATGGAATTGAGCAGCCATACCTTGGTCTCACGGCCGCTACTATTTGTGCACCATAATGGTTGGAGACTTTGCAGGACTGTTGTAGCTTTCCCAATACAGTAGACAATATCGTGGTCTGCATCGCCATCTGCTGAAATGACGCTGCCTAGATAGGTAAATCGAAATTTTCTGGTGGCCGATGGATACGGTTACTCATCCGCGGGCATACCCAATGCGCATGATCTTGGTTTTAGAACCACTGTTGCGAAGCCCGATCTTTGCTGACTCCCGCTCCAAGGCTGTCGTTGGTATATTCGTCAGATGGCTTGGGTGGGGGAAAGCAGCGCGATGTCATCGGTTGGCATAGTCCAAGTCTGCCAAATGCTTCACCTGTCCCCATGGGAGGCCACTTCCTTGCCGGTCAACGGACTTGCGCATGACCAACACCAGTAGGAACAGGAATGGAGACAGGACACAGCCTTGCCTGACCCCGTTCTAGAAGGGGAAAAAGTCAGTGATGCAGTTTTCTGTCCAAACGCAGCAGCTCGATGTGCGGTAAAGGAACAGGTCAGTAAGCTGGCGCAGGAAGCCGTGGGCAATCTTCCAGAGGGTCTCGCTGTGGACGCTGTCAAAAGCTTTGTATAAAAGTATTGTATAAATTGCTATATAAATAAAGGTGACTTGATTTGAACTGTAAACATGAAGCATCTAAATAGTTTAACTGCTTTTGAAGTGTCCCAACAAAAATTAAAAACAAACTTACACCTTTAGTTGAGGATGAATATCCTGGGTATTCTTTGTCTTCAGGCACATGAAATAGAGACACTTTGAGAGCGAAGACAGACAAGATGCTACATGCTCCGAGGAGCTTGACTGTTGCCTCTTATTCCCGTCTCTCAGAAAAGCAAACAGCATTTTAGTTGGAAATGTTAGAGCAGGAAAGAGAGGGAAGATAAGGAATTCCTGTGGATGTAAAGACATTTTACATTTTGCATTTACTGAGACTAAAAGCACAGGGAGGGCAGCTTACATCCATTTATCCATCATCTCTGACATTTAAGTGCATGTTAATAACTGATCCTCTAACTTCCCCAACCATACGGCTGTCATATGTCAAGCATGTGTCATCATTAGCTTAGAGTTTATTTACTAGTGGGTTTAATGCAGGTTAATGTGTAACTATACACATAACGCTATATGCTATAAAATAATGTAATGCTATAAAATGTATTGTAATACTATCATCTTCTGAACTAACTTAAAGAGTTAATATATATATATATGGTTGCTAGGGAGTTGCTAGATGGTTTCTGTATAGTTACCATATCTGCTACTTTGTCAAATCAAGCTATATATGTATGGTATGTATGGTAACTAAACAGCACCACAGAATATACCATGGTAATATGCTACATAACTAAAGCCTATAATGTAACTTTGTTATATCTCATAAGAGTGCAAATAAAAAATAAATAAACAACAAAACTAAAAGATTATTTGTCTTTTAAAACCTAAGTGAGCAAGCCCAAAGGCCAGTAAGTCACTTTTGAACTAGCTCAAATAGTTATAAATAAATAAATAAATAGACATACAGTATATAAATAAATATGTGGTTGCTAGGGATTTGCTACAGTAGATGGTTGCTTGTGTGTTTTGAGTGCTCCTGTATTGCTCGGTGGTTTCTATGTAGTTGCTAAATTGTTTTGAGTGATTCTGCATTGCTAGGTGACTTCTAAGTTGTTTTGGGTGGTTTCCAGGGATTTGCTAGGGAGTTTTGAGTGGTTGTGCATTGCCAGGTGCTTTCTAAGGTTTTTTGTGTGGTTTCTAGGGAGTTGCTACAAATTTTCAAGTGTGTTCTGGATGGTTTCTAGGGGGTTGCTAAGAGGTTTAAAATTTTGTTCTCATCTGATAGTGTCAGTGCTTTTAAATCAATGTAATATCAACAAACCAAATATACATTTTCTTCTAAAACCCCAAAATGAGCAAGCCAAAAGCCAATATGTCAAGCATTTTCTGAAGACGAAGGGCTAAAACTAACTTTTGCAAACTCTCTGTTTTACCAATACAGTCAGCAGATGTTCTAAAGGATGCTTGATTTCTTCGAGCTGAGCTTTTTGACATGGCATCCTCTGACAAAGGTCATATGCTGAGGGTCATAGTTCAGGGCAACTGACTTGTTTTGAAATATGGTGTCCTGTTATAGGGAGTGCAGGGGCCCTAAACACACTCTCATACCTTCACTGCCGTATCTCACCATCAGGAACAACCTCTAAGCAGCCCTCATAAAAAACAAAGCAGGCCCCTTCACCCCGGACATGTTCTAGAGAGCTTTTACGGCTTGATGAATGGCACTAAACCTGCTCCAGCCCTCCATCTTCCATCAATCTAATTTCTTCCTTTGCCTCTTGGGTGTTTTGCGGACTGTTGTTACGTCATGGGACTAATCTCCCCATCAGGGTCCGACTCACCCGACTGGTCCATCTGCTTCTGAAGCTCTTCTGTCTGCACAAGATTGCTTATCTGTCTGCTGACGTGCTCTTCCTCACGCTGTCGACTGGGACGTTGACTGAAAGGCCTCAAGACCAGCCCTTCACCAAATCCCCCATTCTGGACTCTTGACAGGAGAGACGTGCTCAAAGGTGGCGTGTTCTCCATCAGCATTTAACACACCTGTCTAGACGCAACACAGACGTGCAGAACCACAACAGCTGCGGATGTACACGTTCATACGTGTCGAGTGCAAATAGAACATGAACACACACAATTATAGACAGATGATGAATTACATTCAATAATGCTTTAGAAAGGAGACCATTGATATCAAATGACAAGTTCAATCTGAAACATTTTGTTACTTGCAATCTAATTGTTAATTTATAATCATACTGATGTCTCAATCAGACTGAAAAGCCTTAATGTAAACACCTCAATCTACTACCAGGCAAATGTTTGGAATAATTAAGTTTTGAAAGAAGGCTGCATTTATTTATAAAAACAGTAATATTGTGAAATATTATTACAATTCAAAATATCTGCTTTCTTGCTGAATATATGTTCAAATGTAATTTATTTCTGTGATTGAAGCTGAATTTTCAGCATCATTACTCCAGTCTTCAGTGTCACATGAAGAAATTATTATCTGATTATTATCAATGTTGAAAAAAAGTTGTGCTGCTTCATATTCTTGGGGGGAAACCATGATAAACTACCATTCAAAAGTTTGGGGTAAGACTGCTTACAGCATCATACCACAATCAAAGCTCTCCAGGTGTCTAACACCTGATATGAGGAGGATTCATCAAGTGTCATGCATGTCTCTTACAATCAATAAAACCACTTGTTCTTTAGTGCACAGATAACGTGAATGAGACAGACGTGAGAACATATCATATGAAGGAGTCAGTAAGTTTTACCGCAATCCCACGATTCTAATGTGCACATAATTAAAATGTTTGAGGTCAGTAAGGATTTGTTTTAAATAAATTAATAATTGTATTTGTCAGGGATGTATTAAATGTATCAAATGTTAGAGTAAAGACATTTTATAATGTTACAAAAAAATATATTTCAAATAAATGCTGTCATTTTGAACTTTCTATTCATCAAAGATTCCTGAAAAATAAAATGTATCACGGTTTACACAAAAATATGAAGCAGCACAAGTGTTTTCAGCCATTTATAATAACCAGAAATGTTTCTTGAGCAGCAAATCAGCATATTAGAATGATTTGTGAAGGATCATGTGACACTGAAGACTAGAGTAATGATGCTGAAAATTCAGCTTTGATCACAGGAATAAATTACATTTTACAATATATACATTTTCTTATTCATATTCATTCAATCATTGTTTTTACTGTATTTTATTCAGTAAAATAAATCCAGACTTTGTAAGCAATAGAGACTTTTTTCAACAACCATAAACATTTTAACTCTAGAGTACCTTTGTATTTTATTTCTTTCAGGTGGAAATGGGGTTTGGCAACATTGTGAGAACATTTAAGAAGTAAAACAAGAACCGAACGTCATGCAAATCAGTTAGTTCCAGTATAT